CAAGCATTTTTACAGTTGTTGTATAGAAGGAATAATTTCCCACAAGATAGGAAAAAAAGTAATTTAGCTAAAGGCTTTATTGCAGTGAGGACTGTAAGCAGAGCCTTACATAAAAGCACCAAAAAAAAAAAAAAAAAAAAAATTGCGAGGAACTGTATCAGCTGTAAAAGTCAGTCTGGCTGTAAGAGCTTGCAGGTATACTACAAACCATGCGCCGTATCAGCTTTACACGTAGTAAATTTATTTCTTTAAATATCTAGCAAATGTTGTTTATTTTCTTTTAGTTTCCCTTCCTCCCTCAGGTGGTCTCAATTTTTTTTTTTTTTGGTCACTCCCAGGTAGCATCTGCTATTGCTCCCTTTGGGAACATACATTTGCAGCCTCTTCTTTGCAGCAGTCTCTCTGCTTTACCTTGATGGAAAGAAAGAAATTACTATTTGAATTGCAGAAATATGTTCTGGAAAACAGTAACATGAAATTTCCATTTACTTAAAAGAAAAACTCTACCAGCTCCAAACAATTATCCATCAATAATGTATTTTGAACTAATCAAAGATGACATTAGCTTTTTTGATTCTTTGCATATGTTGTATATTGGTTTATGCTGAGAATATTCATTATAGTAAAATGAAATAATAATCTCTATAGTGATAAATATGACACCACCTGTTCTGGGAAGTAGAGCAGGAAGGAATTATTCGTAGGTGGGGACCAACTTTTAGTAATAGAGCTGCAATTCAAATAAACCTGTCCCTTTTTTAAGTGTGTAGGTAATTATATCAAAGTAAAAGTAAATTGATTCTAAGTAGGAAATTCAAAATTAATTCTACCAAACAGATGGTGGATCTTTGTCACCATACTACCTATGCTCCGTTTATAATAACTTGGTTTAGTAACTTGAGTTCCCTGCCAGAGCTGCGCCCACAGCACTGCAGATAGCAAGTAGCGTTTCACTATGGGTTTGTAACCCTGCCTTTCCATCCTACTGCTCAAGTTCGGAGAGTCTTCTTAGATCTTCGTTTAAACTGGCAGTATTTCTTCCTCATCCTAGTACTTTCTCAACCTTGCATTCAAGTTTTTTGATAACTTAAAACAATTTCCCATGTATCCCGAAATCTCAGAAAGTTCAGTCCAGCCTGTTGGCGCTTACAACCTTTGTGAAACTCACTGAAAAATATTTTGATGTGCTGCTCACAGGAGTACATACCATTATATTACAACCAAAAAAATATTAAAAATGTGAATAGCCATTTTGTGAATTTCCAATAGAGGGATGATAGATGGCACTTTGGCAGTGTGGGTATAGATTCAGAATTGATAATTGAAAGAGTACGGATTTTTGTTTATTGTTTACTTTCAAAGTATTTTATTGTACTAATGCATTATACAAACATTATACTTTCCAGAAGTAGTGCATTAACAATATTTGGAAGTAAATTCTGAAATTAAACTATAGTTAGGTTGGACTTGTGGGGAAAAGGAAGGTTTTACCACATCTTAATGCTGCAAATACTGTTATCGATACAGGACTTCAAAATGTCAGTGAATACCTTCATCAATAGTTAATGTTGGGGAGTTTCTTTTATATGTTCTACTCATGCAGGTTATACAATATTTTTTAAGATCAAAAGCATTTACATTTCTGAGGCTTTCTAAATATGCTGATTTTTTATAACAACTTTTTTTTTTTAATGTTGAGTTCCTGAAACAACTGGAACACACCTAACAAATTCATTATAATCTGACACTTCAGTGCCATGCTGGAATTATTCCAAACTTCATGCAACTTTGATATTGCAAATTCGTTAGCAACCCTTTGGTGAATGTTGTTTCAGGGCAAGCGGCTAGTCTCTCTATTCTCAGTTGGAGAGTAGATGAATAGTGATGAGAGAAGGGAAGCCTATTTCTGACAAAAACAGTTGGTCTAGCTCAGACCAAAAATGGCCTGTGAAGAAACTTCTCAGATTTAGTTGAAGCTTCTGGCAGTCCCACTGTAAGCTCCCTGGCAGTGATTTGGTGAGCTCTGCTGGTGCAGCACCCAGTACCACAAGAAGAGCTACCAGCCCTCCGGAAAGAGGCGCTCCTCTGCCTTTCATGCTTTACAAAAGCTAGTTCGGTTGAGGTCAGTTTGCTTAAATCATGTCACTTCTACAAACTATTACTTCATAAGCATATAACTTCAAATGAAGTTTGGGCTTTACCAAGTTGCAGCATTTGTTTTCCTGTCTTCCAGAATAAGAGTCTGTTGAGTGCTGATGGACTTGCAAGTTCGGCACACTTGGGCTTATGGCTTCTGAAAGTTATTTGTACATATCGAAGGTTGTTTGGATTTCATGTCTAGGTAGAGATGATTAGTTACCTAGCATGCCGTTAATAAAGGTATATTCATCAGTATAGGTATTCTGTAGCACTCAGGGACCCATGATTGTACAAAGTATGACAAGGCAATTTGGGAGTCTGTCATATATCAAATAATTACCTAATAAAAATAGCTTTAAGTAAGACGCTTACATAATAAAAATAACTTTTAATAGGCATATGCACTAGTTCTTAATAGGACTCATTTATAAAACCAAGATGATTTGATTTACTAAACATGAATAATTAATTTGGAAATATATTTTTATTTTGTGACATTCTTAGCATCAATTAACATCAATTTGTTAGATTCTTAACACCAGTTTCTTAGAATAATTTTAAAATTTCCCAAGTAGAAGTCATCTTTTTTCAGCCTGAACCTTAATCTTGAGCCAGAAGAGGGGTAAAAAACTCTGAAAGACTAATTGGTATCGCAAAATCCATTTTCATACCACAAGAATCAACTCTGGTCTAGTTGCTATAGTTCTGAAGGTGCATGATTACTGTTATTTCTGTCAGGTAGAGTAATACTTCATTCTGTCTTTCATTAATTCTTTACTAAAAAAATTGCAATGTATGTAAATTTAGTCATCAATCTATTTTTATATTTGTTTATTTTTTAAATAAATTCTGACTCAACAGCTAAGTGACCAGTGGAGTTATCAACTATTGCTAGAATTGTTGATTTGGTGAGACGGGGATACCATGCTGAAAGGTTTAATGAAATGTCATTAAATTAAAAGTTTTTCACTTCTGAACTCAGTTTCAGGTAGCTTATTTTTTAGAATGCCTAAGTAGTCTAAAAGCTATTTCCCACAAAGTTGTTGTGTGTTTTTAACAATAAGGCATCCTATTACAAAATATAAACCGTTTAATAAAAATGCAAACAGAACTCTGAAAGATTCTGGAAGTTTTCCAATTATTTCTATCTTCTCATAAATTTTGCCTTGTTTATGCATTAATACATTTTGTAGCAGGTTCTTTGAACTCCGTTCTGTCAATTCTTCAATCATAAATTCAAATATTTTATACCCAAATGAGCATGAAAGACATGTTTTAAAGGACATAATTTTTTAAAAAAGTACCTAGATATTCCTCTACTAGTTTCCCAATCTGACAGAAAAGCTTTTTATATGTACTTGGAATATGTGACCACCGATTAGCTTGACACCAACTCAGCCTCTGTAATTCTTTCATCTTCCACAGTGGGGTCTGTGGTTTGGATGCTTAAGGAAACTGTTTTCCCACCTTTCCCCTTTCATATTTAATTCCTCTTTTTATAGGCAAAATTATGCATGATTTGTTGAAAGTACAGGAATCTTCATTATTTACTGCTGCTTTAAAATTTAGGTATGCTTTTCAGTAGGTACCAGTGCTAAAAACATACAATCAAGGAGGAAAGAAAGGGATGGAGGAGTTTTCTGAGCCAATAATGGGTCTGGAGGTGGGCAGAAAACATCCTTACTAAGTGCTTTGCACTAATATTAGTGGAAAACAAAGTATAGTTTTCAATGTGACATTCTTGGCACAAAAAAACTACTTAGTAAGTAAAACTTGTACAATTATTTTGCTGATGCTTCTAGTTTAGAGAAGATTTTTCATGCTTATAAAAAACAACCTTTCCAGGTGTTTAAATGGCAAGAAATAACTACAATCAATACCTTCTCTTTATAACACTTTTTGTTTTTTTTTTTATCCTGGCTTATTTGTTAATAGTTTTCTGTACTGATATTTTATTCATGTTTTTCTCTTGTATAATGCATGTTGAGTACTGTTTCTGGATCTTATGATTTCAATGGAATAAACCAGAGTACTGCTAGATAACTGAATGTATGATAGCGTTGTTTGTCTCCTCTCAATTACCCTTTAAAGAGTAGTAAAGAGTTGCTTTCTGTGTGGGCTTCTAATTAATGTGCTCTTCTGCATCTCCTCTGTTGTTTTAATTGTGTTCCTCTCATAAGGGAAGGTTGTTTTCCTGGATTTTGTAATCATTGACTGTACATTGCTAACGGCACAAACTTCTAATTCTCTCTAGGAGATTTATATGTTTTTATTCTGCTTGGGTTTTTTTCCAGGCCCTATTCTTGATTGATAACTACAGAGGAATTCAGTCTTGCAGGGGGAAACTCATTGGACTTTGGAATGCTCAGACTCAGACTCAGAGCCCTAACATTCAGTGCACTCACTGAGTCAGGCCTTTTGAATATGAGTTATGTCTGCATATAATTGACATGAAATTATAATAATAACCACATCCTTTAAGTCAGAATTGCAATGGGAAGTATGGAAGCTGAAGTGATGGCTAATCACCATTAAAAGTGAAATTACCTAAAATTGCTCAAAGTAGAAAGGGAAAGAAATAAAGAATTTTAAAATCGAATCGTATTTTTTAGGTCTTTCCAATATTTTTATAAAATGTACTGTGTAAATTGCTCAAAGTTGTAGCAGAATTACTCATCATTACTGATGTATGCTAATCTGTGTTGGTTTGGCTGCACTTTGAGGCTACGCTAGCTCATATTATCCATTTTACTTTATAAGCAAAGGCAATATGGAAAAAAACCAACCAACGTACAAGACAACTTCGTCCTTCATGCTTTACCAAATGGTACCAAAGGGTTTGAAATCATGTACTTTTGCAGGCTATAGAGACCCACCTCATTCGCAAATCAAGCGGGGGACTGACATACATTGCTGAGTGGAAGGGTGGGCTGCTTGAACACAAGATGGGACACCTCACTTGTTTTGCTGGAGGCATGTTTGCTCTTGGAGCAGACGGAGCACCTAACGACAAGACGGGCCATCACATCGAGCTTGGTGCGGAAATTGCTAGGACTTGCCATGAATCCTATGATCGTACGAGTAAGTACTGTATTGCAGAGTTTAGTTTCACAGTTTCACTTTGTGAAGGCAGCCATCGGTATTTTTGCGTAATGCTGAATGAAGGTTGTATGATGGTGAGAACTCTTCATCCTTTCTGACCAAATGCTGCTTTGCTCTAGCAATAACTTTAAGAATGGCTGCTCTGTTTTATAAATACTTTCTGTGCACCTGAATCGTATCTACTCACTCTAGTAATTAACATGACAGCTTTTTTTTTTCACTTTGCCAATTTCTGTGTAGCCAAAAGAGAGAGCCTGTTCATTTATGCATCAATATAGCTATTAATCATCTTTTATGCACAAAAAACTATTTTATTCTCAGTTCTGTTGGTACAATGCTGCAAACAATAGAATTGCACAAAGAAAGTGGGTTTCTGTGCAGGAAATTTCTTTGGATTCTTTCGCCGTCTTATAAAAATAACCCTGGCAGCATTTCAGGACCCAGAGTGTATTTTCCAGTTTGATATAGAAAAGTAAATATCCTCATCTTTTAAGCAAGATTTCACATGTTGCTAGTTATATGAAGTCTTCCAGAACACAAATGTTAGCATCAGTGTTCAACCTGGAACTGCTGTGTAAGGCATTGATGAAGAACAGCTCTCTCCTACTCCAAATTATTTACAAAATATTAAAAACAGGAGGTGCTGCAGTATTTTTCAGAAATTATATACCTTTTGGGTAACCTGGCTTTGTGCCACATGAAAGGATAGTTGATTTGGTAGGGTACGTAATTTGAAACCTTTTTAAAATGCTTTTATTTTAGCATGTGTTTTTATATTGGTTAGGCATGAAACTGGGACCAGAAGCCTTCAGATTTGATGGTGGTGTTGAGGCCATTGCTACAAGACAAAATGAAAAATACTACATCCTACGACCAGAAGTCATAGAGACCTACATGTACATGTGGCGGCTCACTCATGACCCAAAGTATAGGCAGTGGGGATGGGAAGCTGTAGAGGTAATGTTCTGTTGGACTTTTTTCTTATTAAATCCTAACATCTTGTTAAGAAGTGAGCTATTGAATGATATCTGGATATTGTTTAGCAGTTGGAGAGTAAATATTTATTTTAAATCAGTAATAGCAACTCAAATTTCCAGAGATTCACTTACTAAATAGATGAACTAAGATCATTTTGACAAAACCAAATACTGCTGGTATTGTATATTAGAAAAATACCTTGTGATTTCTCCTTAAATACTTCTTGGATCAGGGTCATATTTGGATGTACTGCTCAAGATGTTGAGTATTGCTGCATGTGAATGGAGAGTGCAAACATGTCTCAGATTTGAGCCTGGGGCATGGAAATAAGTTTTATGAAGTGTGTTTTCAACAGTAATTGTACAAATGTGATTTTAATTAAGGTGATGAAGGCCAAGATGAAGTAGTAGATAGTACCTAACATTTAAAAATGGGTCCCATTCAAAAAGCATAGGTCATCTGGACTGAAGTCCATTAATGATAACAATCTCGTCTAGATTTAAATTTCTGTGTCCCACTAGCCTTTGAGCTTCAACCAGTCATGCTGAACCTAGCTATTTGTGTTTGTCTAGCACAAGTCTTCCAAGAGGGCAGCTAGTCTATACTGCAAAAATTGTTTTGCCAAATCTATTGTTTCCGTCATTTCAGTGGTTAATCACTCTTACTGTTAGAGATGAGAGCCTTTGGATTTACCATGTTTCATCTGCCAGGTATGGGTCCTTACTACACTTCTAGAGTTCACTTATTTTCTCCTTACATTAATGTTGCCCTTGCTAAATTATTTGCATTTCACTCTTACTTTGGAATGTCTAAGCAGACTGAGATGTTATAGGAGATACAGGAAGCGGAACAATATTACTTTTGCAGCCCTGTATACCTAAGAAAAATGAAAAAAAACCCCAAAACAGTATTTTGTTCACAGTGACCTCTCCTTTGCAGAGTTACTGCTTTCCAGGATATCAAAAATGTCCTGTTTGTCAGTTTGCCCAACACCTCTTGTTTGTACGAGTGTATGATTATAACTTTCTTGAATTTCTCATCCCCAAGGGACCGTACTAGAGAGCTGTTACTGGGTTATGACTCCATATACCTGGCTGCGACATGACATCTGCCAGTTACCTGGCTCCCTCCACAGCAACCAAGATCTGTAATTGTATTCACTGTGTGAGATACTGAACGTATCTCAACTGTTGTGCAGTGCTGTGAAAGAAGAGCATTTCAAGTTTGGTAATTAGCTATTCTTGAAGAATGAAACTTACAGTAAAATCTGCTTTCCATAAAAGAATAGCTGCTAGCATTAACTGTACTTCTACTCTAACTCCTCCTTGTTTGATATTCACAGCAATTCCATATCTGCAGTCAACACTGTATTCAGCTAGGTAGACGGTAGTTATTTAGGACACTTTATTTGCCTCCCTCAGGTGTAGGCTCTGTTGGCCCTGAAACAATGTGCTTCCGAGTTAAAGATTCCAAAGCAATTTTTAAAAAAAAAAATCTCTAATTCAGCGTGCTATTCCCTTACTTTCTTCTTCGCTAACACCATCCACAGGCACACGTTTTACTACTGGAATCTTCCCAGGCAGATAATAATTGGAATATTTACAATGGCTGTTTATGGAAGTCATCCCACCAGGCTTCAGCAATGCCAAGTGTCCCTTCTCCAGGAGATGCATTTCCTGAGTCATTGTTGCTGCCCACACTGATAACATTGTTATAAACAATTGAAATGTTTTCCTTATTATTATTCTTTACCCTGCTGGTTCAGTTTGTTTGTGTTTATTTCAGGTTTGTACACTCATTTACCTTCTTAGCGCTCCCCCGTGTTCCTTGTTTAACATTCTTGTGGTTACGCTCATCTGGCTCTAACATCGTGGATAAGAGCCCGTGTGGGGGAGATGCAGCTGGTCCCATTCTGTACAGGCCCATCTTCCACTGTCATAATGTGCAGTTGCATGTTTCACAAAAACAAATCTTAGAGCTTCACAGAAGTTAAACAGTCAGTTGCAGGTTTCAAATCTTTTTTTTTTTTTTTCTCTCAGCTTTTTATAGCCTGTACAGCTCCACCTGATACTGTATTTCTTCGTTCCAGCATGTGTCATGATAGCTTACCACACCAATGTCATAAATTCTGCTCCCTCTTGCTCCAGAGAGTATTTCTCTCCACGTTTTGTTCTTGGGGAAGTCCCTGACCACTGACTGTGGTTGGTTTAATAACCAACACCCGTTGCACAAAGAGGAAGCTGAGATTGAAACAAGAAAAAAGGGGCAACAATCAGACCATTTGTTGTTGCCAAAAAAGTTGTTCTTCAGGTGTTTCTTGTCCATTTTCAACTCATGACACTGGCAATAAGAGCTCATTAGGTTTGTGTCCTAGTGCCCTTGTAGTAGGAAAGGAGGCTGCTCTATAGGTCATGACTTCTAAATTCTCCAACAAGTCCATTAATTCTTCCTCTAACTTTTGTAGACTAAAAACGTGCTCTAGCATCTCCATTTTTTTCTTTGGAAACTTGCTTTGCTGCTTTGAGTCCAAGATCATTCTGTATGTACTTCAGCAGTTGGAGAAAATGCAGTTATGACCAACAGCAATATCCACTGTTACTGAGTCAGACAGGTTTTATCAGCTTAGCTCTTGAAAGTCTCCCTTTCTGCATTATAAATGCAGCACGTATTTTGAATTCACGGCACTGCTTTTGTTTTTTTCCCTTTATGATACTTTGAGACTGTCAGCCAGTTTTCACTCCGCTTGATGTTTTCCATTACCCAAGCATAACTGATCTTAGCCACCCTCATTTTCTGAGAACTACTAATTTAAAATGTGTCTGATTGTTTCTTCCCACCCACCACTGCCCCACTGTCAATGTGAACATCGCTGTACTCTGAAACTGCAGGTATGGGCACAAAAGGCCATTATTGCCAGTTAAAGGAAGGTGACAACTGAGAGCCTTTTTATCGTACTAATGCCGCACGTGAATGTCCTGTTCCTTTAGTTAAGTGGGAAGTAGCTTTGAGGGGTAAGATAGTTCACATTTGCATCAAGTAGATACCACCAGGTGACTAACATGGAGCAAGTTAACCTCTTAGTTTCCATCACAGCAGTGTGTTCAGGTGCCTGTAGGGTATCTCCCTACAATGGACATAAAGAAGGCTCTAACTACATGTTAGAGCACATAAACCCCAGAAGCAATTTGCTTTTATTTTACCTCACCCTGTTTAGAATGCAGATGTTTTGTTGAATAATAGCCTTATCCTTCAAGTTGAAGTTCTCCTTCTGCTGTGCCTTGGAAAACATAATCTTGTGTTTGACATTGAAAAACCAGACACAGATTCAGCATTTTGAATTCATTGCAGGTTGAAGTAGACGAGAGGGAAGGAGTACCAGCCAGGGGAAATTACTTGTTTAAACTTAAGTATATTTGTCACTTAGTAAAAGTGTCCAGGAAAATTAAAGAACCTAAAGACACATAAGAAAAGACAAATAGGCCTGTTATATTTTAAAGGATCTCTCCTGGAGAAAAATCCCTTTTAAATATACAATAGGCAGCTTACTCTCCAGTGAAAACTATGGAGACCCTGACATGCAAGCTAAATATATGCAGATAGCTACAGTCCAGCAAAAACAAGGACGTTTAGGATATCTGCTCACAGCAAAACACAGATCTTGAACAGCATGTAGAGCAGGTGGAGGTGAAGGATACCTCAGTAATTATTAGTGACTTTTAGTCCCATCTCTCATCAGAAAACGCTTATTCTGCCTGTTTGCTTTTTTTAGACAAATCTCCTGCCTTTTCATAGCTTTTTGCCATATGACGTTTGAAATGCAGCATCTTTCCCTAAATAAAATCTACACATCCTGTAATCACTTCAGTGATATTTGTAATAACTTCAGATATGGAGGAGCTAGTTGTCTTCCATCTCTCTGTCGGGGGATTGATAAAGTGCCAGGTATTTCTGCCTGAAAGTTGTTGCTCCAATACCCACCTCCACAGCAAGCACCATGTTTCAGAGTAGTGTGGTCCTGAGCAAATGTAGTAATCTATCATGCTTACCATCATTTTCATTGTGAGAACTTATTTAGGGCTAAAGAGTGTTTTCTGGATTTGTTTTTGAATAATGAGCTGTTTTAAATATAATCATCTCAGATTCTCTTCGCTCCTCTATTATACTACATGATACCAGAGAGTTATTATAAAGCAGAATAAGAAAAATGAAGATGCTAAGAATATTTTCAGCCTTGTTAAATAGGTCAATTATAAAGAAAAAAGATGAATGAATATTTTTAAACAAAGCAGTGATAAGAGAACTAATATTCAAATAAAGTATTGGATAGCACTCTTTAAAGAAGTGGTGGCTCATATATAGGCACCACCTTTCTAATGCAAACAGCTGTCTAAAATAAAGCAAAGCAGCAAAGTTTATTAAATAGCATAACTGTATATACCTTCTACGCTTCCAGCACCAAGTACATGTTTTTTGCCCTTCTGTATACACCCTTCATTTGATCTTTTTTCGCCTTCAAAATTAGCTGATCATATAGAACATTCCTGTGGGCAGAAAATAAATTATATTTTTAGGTGTAAAATAGGAATCAATCAGCTGGTTTACACCTTTTAACTGAATACACAGTTTGGAAACTAGCTAGAGAAAAACACATTCCTACATCTAAAACATGTTGCATTAAGTCCAGCCACATACTAGCTTTCCATCTACTCCTGAGTAACAGACAAAGGCTTTTCAGAAAGGTATCAAAGAAAAATAGTATCTACCACAGAAAAGAAATTCAGTCACAGCCCAATATCGGAGGTTTCCCATTGAAAAATGAAATAATTGCACAGAGAAACCAAACAACTTACATACTTTCTATGTAAGAGTTGCCTTTCCTTTTTCAAAGCTACTTACAGGAGGTAAGGAGAAGACTGGTCTTTATCATGGCATTCACTTCTATCACAATAATTTTTAAGCACTAAAATATGACCAAGAAAGGTATATGTGGCACAATCTCTGAAGGCTGATAGACAAGCCTGTGAGAGAGAGGCTATTGTTATTCCTATTAAAAAGAGGTAAAAGAAAATAAGTGAAAATCCATATATCTTTACATCCATATATCTTTCCTTCTCAAAATTGGTTTGTGTTCACTTCTTTTATTGATTTATCATTTTGCTTCTCTTCCTAAATGTAAAATTAGACATGTGTGCCCATGTCTTTTTAAAAAGAGTTTTCTATCTAGAGCTTTATCTAGTTTTCATCTCTTTGTCAACAGACAATTTTTTGTGACAATTTTTTTGGGCTAGTTTTATTGTCAAACAAAGAAAAACTGACAGATGATTCATTTTTTTAATCCCACTGTCTTTTCCTCCCCCCTCTTCAGGCACTGGAAAAACATTGCAGAGTGGATGGTGGCTATTCTGGTATTAGAGACGTATATAACAATCATGAAAGCCATGATGATGTGCAGCAAAGCTTCTTCCTTTCAGAGACACTCAAGTAAGTTAAGAAACTTGACTTTCATTAATATGAAGTAGTTCTACGTGTCATCTTTACAGATGTATTTATCATTAGTACTGTTGACATTCATGTAACAAAATCTGACTGAAATAGTAGAGCTTTTCATACCTTGATATATGTGGACATTCAGGAGGAAAAGAATTACTATGAAATTACTATGTTTTGTATATTATCAAAATAATATGTAATAAAATTACCAAGGAGGAAATGGAAGTGAACTGATATTTAACCTTGATAGCCTAAACTTCTTTGTCCTCTATCAGGACAGAGGCATTCTTCTGTTGGTCTCAGTTGCTATTGCCCTTGAGTCCAATCTGAGTTGAGTAGCCTCAAATTTTTGTGCTAATCATTGTGATGCTGGGACTTACTGGTGTTTTGTGTTTGGTCAGCTGTTCCCATTGATACATTCATCTAGGGAAATCAGGTGTTTATGTTTTCCTGAAAACTATTGTAGTTTCACTTCTCTGATGTGGTCACATTTCCTGCTTTTTTTCTTGCCAGGTACTTGTATTTGCTGTTTTCTGAAGATGATCTTCTTCCATTCGAACACTGGGTCTTCAACACAGAGGCTCATCCTCTCCCTGTTCTTCACAAAGATGATGGGAATAAAGAAGAAAACCAGAAATAGATGAAGATTAAGTTATACTTTGTTTCATTCCTTATGTTTCTTTTCAGGACTTGGGCACGTGATTTCATTTTAAATTCCTGAGTTAAATTTTGAAATCAAGTGTTTTGCAGTCTGTTTTCTTTAACAGTAAATATTTATGAATGGACCCCAACTGATTTTCCTCTTATCCAGCTAACCACTTCTTAGAAGAGAAATAGGACATCGCTCCACATCTTGTTAGGCTGCAGTGTCATCTTGGCCAAAAAGAGCAGAGGGTCTGCGTGTTACTTGTTTCCTGTTATGCTTTTAATTTGACTGCAAAATTCTTTTCTCCTCTGTGAGGAGATGTCTGCTTTAAGCTGTAATATTTTGCCATGTTGCAAAAAGCCATATTGAATTAAGTATAAAGAGCTTTTTTTTTTTTTTTTTGTTCTATGTTAATTTGTTTTGTGTGTCATCCAAGACAAATCTTGTGACTGTGACAGTCTCTTCTTATGCGGGTCTATCATTACTTGGTAAAGTATCTGATGTATTTCATTGTCAATGAAGTCTACATAGGAATATTTTCATCTCATGCAGACACAACTCTGAAACTGCAGTATGCGTTGACATTAGACTAAACTAGTTTCTATGAATTTAGCACATTAGTTAGCAGACCTTAGTTTTTCAGGTTTTGATTAGAATACTGTAATAGAATAAATTGTTTCCTCCCTTTTCTAAAAGTGGTGGTATTCTCATGTCTTTAGTCAGGCTACTGTGGAGTAAAATAAGGTAGTAATTTCTTATTAAGAAAAGGAGTCTTACCTTCTTTATATATTTAGTCGAGTAACTTTCATTTGGTTGGATGGTAAAAAGACAAAAAAAAAAACTCTATGACCTTTTCCTGGAAGCTGAGAATTACACCAGAGACAATTTGTTTGGTTTTCTGGGACTTTCTCAAACATTCAGATAGGTTCAGACTTGACACCAGACTCTGATATTTTTTTGTCACAAAGCAATTTAGTGTATCTACATGAATAAAACTAGATGTTTAGATGCCTTGAAGAAAACTTGTCTCCTTAAAAGAAGATAATAATTCAGAGAGGAAATTATCTAGCATAGAACTAAAACTTTCTGAAAGCACCAAGTCTGTCTTCTCTGAGTGACAGAAACGCAGCATACTTAAAAATATTCCCCAGATTAGAGGCCTGGCTTACTAAGGGCAACAGCTTTGCCAAAAATGTTTTACTTTGTGGCATCACCAAAGGGGAGGGGGAAGAGGCATGATTAAGTAAGTCCTGTTTCTACTTAAGTGTAGTCTGGAGTGGTTTACATGATTATTAAGTCTACCTATGTTTCCATTTAGTGACAGGATGACTTTCATACATTTTGAGCAGGGTATAACACCTTGCTTCCCGTTCTGAGGAAGCACATTATTCACTGATTGGACTGCAGCAAAACAAATATGGTTCTGAACAGTAATCGTCTTTAAAGGTGTTTAGTTAAGATAGCTCACACGTCCAGCATAGCTAATCACAGCTGAGGAAGCACATTTGCTTGTTTAGGCATTACAGAGTACATTTTTTGCTATACTGGTAGAGGTCTGCGATGTAGGTTTTCTTAGGTAAAAGCCAAGAGCAAAGGTAACGGATTACATTTTTATATATAGCAGCTGGAGGCTGACCCGTAAACTTGACCCTCTGGAGTCTGTACAGATAGCGCTGCCTCTCTGCTTCCCCTGCAGACCAAGAAGACGGCACGTGCCACGTGAGCTGCCAAAGACATTTATGTAGGGGGCAAGGCAAGAGGAGCTTCAGTGATGCTGAGCCTTCCATCGCAGGCATGGCAGAGTCGTGCGTTCGTACATGGAATTTAACAGGGGCACCCTGTTGAGCCTGGGCAACCCAGCGCTGGGAGAATGGATACAAATGTACGTGCCTCTGCCACAGATAAAGCCTGCTTATGTGGAACCAGCACATTGGCTCACGACTTTCTGCTTTACTACCTTTTTTTTTTTTTAAATCATTATTATTTAAAATATGGATACCCTTATGTCACAGTGACAGTTTTCTGAAACTGAACGAGCAAGGATGAAGTCTTGGCTCTCTTCCGTTGAAAAGCAGAACTCCTGCTGATGTCTTGGAGGACTATAATATTTCATTGTGTTTCTTCAGAAACTGTATTTATAAAGGGAGCTCAGAGAAATAATAGCTGTGAAATTAAAAAAAAAAAACCAAAAAACTCTTCCCTCTTTAACCAAAAAGTAGTAAGATAACTAAGACTTTTGTCTTGGTTATCTTTATTGGGTCATCTGCTGCCTACCACATGGCTGTGCATGTGCTGCTATACGCCTTGTATCAGTTAAATAACTACAATAGCTCAGACAAAAACAGCCTTTGAGAAATGGGTTTTGTAAGCCTCTTTTTACATGGTTTTCTTAACCACAGTATGCTTCCCCCAGATGTGTCTAGTGATCTTGCATTTACTTAACAAGCTGAAGAGAAACAGTGGAGAACTAGATAGGCTCCTCTCTGTGTTTCAAAAAGCAGGCTACACACACAGAAGTCTTGTATGCATTGGGTCCTATGTACTCAGATATAAGTGTCATGACTGTTTCCTTGTAATACAGACATTTAGTATGAAATTTATAATTTTTTTTTTTTTTTTTTTAAGTTTGGGAGTTACGATGATTTGAAAGAGCACAAATTTGATGTGACTGGGATTGGTATTCAGGTTGTATGTACAAACTGCACTATACTGTACTTTTTGTAAACTAATGTAAGTAGACGAGAAGATTGTACAACGTGTAGATCTGCCAACTGTAAGAAAACAACCTTTTCATAAACTGAGAATATATTGATTTTTCTTCCTTTTTTTTTTTTTTAAATAATCCCAAAACACCAAAGTTAGAGCAATCATTTTGAAACAGTCAGTACTTACCACTGCTTGTTAGATTGCTGAGATAACGTGCGTTTTATTTCCCGTTCACTGAACTAGCTGCGTGGAAGTGGCTAGTGATGGTCACTTTGTGTTCCCAGTCATTCATAAGAGCAAAAGAAGTTGCTTGGGGGTGGGAGGGGCACTATCTTTCCATAAATACACTGCCTATACTTTTTCCATTTCTTTATAGCATAATAATGCATTTAAATCTGCATATATTAAGCCCTAAGAGGTAGATCACTTTCAATGGCACCCACATTGTTTCATGGGAAGAAAAATGTTTTGATTGCTTGTGAGATAAGTATTGCATATGTGTTGGTTGTACACAGATTTTTGCAATGCCCAATGGCTCACTGTTTCTATGGTGACTTCATCATACATATTATCCATTTCTATCATGCATTTAAATCATTTTTTATTTGTACATAGTCCATTTAGCCTTTCCATCTTTATATAAACTGAAATTATGAAATACATAATAGATCAAGATGCTTAATTTTTAAGAACTTATATTTGTAAAAATTTCTCTATTGTGAATAAAGTCTTTTAATATATCTGTTCAACTCGTTATAATTTTTCCTAAGTGTGTTGCAGAAGTAACTACAGGAATCTGCTGCGTAGTCTGGTTTGGCTGCTATACTCATGAATTTTTGTCAGCAGATTGGTTTGATACGGGCTAGTACTCTGTGTACTTGTTATGATACCATTGTTAATTAATGTTAGTCAGTGTATAGAATTGCTACCACAGAAAAAAAATTCCTATACATTTTTTGTCAATAAAATTTATCCTACCAAATGTATTTTGGTAGAAAGTGAGCTTACTAATGAAAAGTGGGAAGCTGGGAAGTCAGAGGCGGCAGGCAGTAAGCACAGTGAAGGTCGGTCACTCCAATTCGTGTTCTGCACAATACAAGCAGGCTTCAGCTAAATGCCATTTAGGAGCAAACCCCGGAGCAGAGATGACAAGGCTGTCACAGTGCCCAGCGTTACATGATCGTGTAATGAAACACTATCATTAGCCCATGCTCTGGAGGAGAGAGGAACAGTTGTCATAGGAACTGTAACTACATTCTGTGTCGGAAGGACATGTCGGTAAGATCTCCCATCTGAATGTTGAAATAACAGCTACATCTCATAGCTAACCCTGTTTTCTCTGTTTAGTAGAAAGCCTCACCCAAAGATGATAGTGAAATAAACTGCCATGATTTTACGGAACAGTCTCGGTAGTATCAATTTCTGTCAAAGGACTTACTCATTAGAGCTGCTTAAGTCAGTTATTTTTGAGGGTAGCTCTTAGATCTGGTGTCTCATTTTTCCAGCGTAGTTGTGGGCGTGCAGCTGCACAGTGCAATCTTTGGGGTAGTCAGAAGGCAGTCCCCTCCCGGCTCCAGGACCACACAGACTGCTGCTCAACAAGTTAAACATGAACTAATGCAAGCCTTAGTGCAGCACGTTATTCACAAGAGATGCAAACACAAGCCTGGGTTAGAATTTCAACCAATTTGGTCTCTTAATTGGACGCTTGGTGTGGTTTTTTTTTCTGCAGGGGGAAAAAGGAGCTAGGACCGAGTTGACAATTAGTCCAGACTAACAGGATTTGCCCCGCCATCTGCATTGCCCTATGGCCTCCCTCTAGCACAAGAGTAACCCGGTGCTCGTATGACAGCATCTGCTATGGAAACAGCCCTTCATCTGATCCGCCTTAATCTTGGGATTAGTCTGTCCTGGTTGATCTCAAATGCAGGAGGAAAGATTAAGCATCAAAAAGCAGTCTGCCAAACCCAGGAAATGGTCGCAGACACTCAGAGTTCCTGTCTGAATACTGCAAGACAAGATAAACCACAGAGTTTCGCGCTGTCCTGGTTTTGTGCGTTCATACATGCACAAAGTGGTGGATGGAGCAAGTCACACAGCTGCAGAATCCAGTTGGAGCCCAGCAGGCTGTTAGCCTTCAACAGTACCTCAAAAGCCAGCAGTTTGACCTTCATTTCTCAGGTATCTGCTCCTCTGTCTGCACCAGCTCTTATTCACCCTGTAACTAAAATCACCATAATCAACCTTCCCTTTGGAAGGTTGACTCTCAAACTTTCACATGCTCTCAAAACTGTCTGTGCACACTGTGGAAGGTTGTTTGCCTTTCACCATTCCCATACCGACATTTTACAGGACATTAAAGACCCCTCTCATTATTGACATTTTATCCCTTCAATTGTGTTTTGCTTTCACAGCATCAGAGTTACTCTTAGTCTTGAGCACCTCAAGTTAGGAAAAAAAAAAAAATTAAATTGTCAGTGTGACTTTATTATACTGTCACATTGCGGCCATTGATTCATCTGCCAAGGAACATCACCCTATGACAAGGGGACGTGCTGGTACTCTGGAAGCTCAGAGAGGTGTTATGGTTAGCAGTGCACATGACAGAAGAGCCCAAAGTTATTTATGTTGGCCATGGGGGATAGTTAAAGGATCCTGATGCTGCAAATAGTGATCCTACAGTAATGGT